GAGTATAAGCAATAATAGGAAGGACCAAGGGTTTTTGCTAGTTGAGATAAGGAGTTGACTCGCATTGCTTTCCTGTACATGTGTGTTACCTTCTAAGTTAATTCTTCTCAAACTGTTCCTGGTCCCCTTCTATTGACCTCTGTCACTTTAAAGTATCTGCTTTAGTTTCTCTGCATCACTTTTTTTTTTTTAAAAACCAATATGACAATTTCTGGAGTTTAAGTAGCGTACTGAAACCACTTACATGTAATATTATTATTATCACTAGGGTCAGATGTGAACCTATTATATTGCTATTTGTTTTCTCTCTTCCCATACATTCCTTGTATTCTCCATAGTCCATCCTCATGTAGCTTTTTTTCCTTCCTTACAAATTATTGTGCTTTTTATCTCTATTATTTTCTAACTAGTTATACCTTTTAAAAAAGTTGTGCTAAGATTAATAATGCTCATTTCTAACTTGTCACAGTGTATCTTCAAATACTATTTTAGCACTTCATGTCACATGTAAGAAAGTCAACACACTGGGTCTGAGTCCCAACACTGGTAAAAAAAATAATTATTAACTAAAAATAAGCAAAAAAATAACTTTTATACTGACTCACATGCTGACTTTTCTGGCATTCTTTATTCATTCATGTAGATGTAGCAAGTTCCAACAATGTCAAAACTATACTTAACATGAATCTTATATCCAAATTTATAACTGTTCTTTTTAATTTCTGAGTTAATAACTTTTTATTAGTTCTGGGAAAGTTTTAGCTATAATGTATTCAAATTATCACTGATCCTCCATTCTTTCTCTTCTCTAATGATATACATTAAGTTTTCTGAGTGTGTATCATTGTGTTCTCTCTGTCCTATCCCTTCCCAAACACTATCCGCTGTATTTTTCTCTTAGTGCTTCAGTATTTCCAGGTGGGTTCAGTGAATATACTTACTAACTTGTTGAGTACACTAACCTGTCTTCTGCTTTGTCTAGTCTATTGTTAACAGGTATACATTTTAATTCTAGAATATTCATTATTCATATTGTGCTCAAATTCTTCATTCTCTAAAAGTAGTGGTCAAAAAAAAAAAAAGTAGTGATCATAGTTATTTTTAAATACCTATCTGCTAATCATATTGACGTGAGTGGTGTAGGGAAATATGTAATTGTTTTACAAAATGCCATCAGATTTCAGTAGAAAAGCTCATTTCCGCTCACCATAGGAAGTAAACTTTATGTCATACTGAAAATGATATATCTTAGAAGGAAAAAGACAATATGCTGGATTATAGTCCAAATATGTTTAGAAAAAAACATCCTTACCTTTGCTAATGTTTTCTTGGAGTAAATGTCAGTACGAAGACCAAAGTTCTGTAAATCAATTGGTTTTTCCTTGTTCTTTTCAGGAAAATTTAACATCTGCTGAGCAGCTGGGACCTATGAACCAAATAAATGACAAATGACTATATTAATCTGCTTGAAGTCAAGAGAGAGAATTTTTTTCAAATTACTTATAACTGGCAGATGAATCACTCCTGGTGAATTTTCTATCCAAAAAAAGAAGTAAAAATACACCTTCATGCTATACTTCTAATAAAAATTCAACATGTAAGAAACATATTTGGTGCACCTTAAAATAAAGGAGAAGACGGACAAGAGGTTTTCTTCAACTTTTGATCTTCCATTTCACAATGGAAGGAAATTTATACCTTAGGTTCATGTTATCCCAACTTAATGCTATTTGTAATTTCTTTTATATAATCTTTGTAATGGACCTGCACTTTCCAAAGCTTAGGACAATTTCTGAAGACTTTTAAATCTGCTAGACTGGAGGAGTGGCTCAAGCATGAAGCCCTGAGTTCAGTCCCCAGTGTGTGTGGGAGGGGGGCAGGTGGGGGGAGGGTGTCCCTAAATGACATAATGAAACCTTTTACCATGCATAATTAACATACACTAATAAAAATGTTCATCTAAAAAAAGAAAATAAAAAATTCACATTTCTAGAATATAGGCTGAATGAACTTTGTCTTGCTTGCATTTTTATTAGTGACTTTGATGGCAGAAAGAGAAAGAGGTTAAGAGCATGAATACAAATCTGTAATTTCATAAGATAAGAAAATATCTTATAATTCTTGGGATAGCATTACCTTAAGCATTATATATTGTTATGGATTCAAACATTTACTTTAAGAAAAACAAAAAACTGCCAGGTGCCAATCCTAACTACTTGAGAGGCAGAGATCAGGAGGATCAAAGTTTGAAACCAGGCAGGGAAAATAGTTCATGAGACTGTATCTCAAAACTACTCAACACAAAAAAGGGCTGGCAGAGTGGCTCAAGCAGTGAAGCATCTACCTAGCAAGCATGAGGTAACCTGAGTTCAAACCCTAGTACTATCAAAAAAATAAACTGCAAAATACCACCTAAGAAATAGCATTAATAGTACTATCATATTACAGTAATAATTAAGACTAAATGGAAATAATTCAAACTGATTGTTTCCTACCACCTAGGCCTGAAGAAATGTGAGCATTAATTTACCTGAGGCGAACGAAGATGCAGAGGCACAAGCCCAGAAGGGGTATCTGCTAATACATTGAAATGAGGAGTAGGAGGAGGTCCCATTGCCATGGGTCGACTTTCTGGATCAACTTGGTAATTAACAAGCCCCCACTGCTCTAAGAAGGCATGAACCCTAAAAAAAAAAAACAAAGTTCTGAAAATTAGTATCTAGAGATTGATCTCATCTCTACAACCAACATTACAAAATTAATCAGTCACAGAAACTCATTAGTCACAGAAACTGCTTCCTTAGCCAGGTGCCAGTGGCTTATGCCTACAATTCCAGCTTCCTGGGAGGCTGAGATTAGGAGGATCATGTTTGGAGGCCAGACTGCGCACTGGGTTCACAAGACCAAAATAACCAGATAATAGACTGGAGGAGTGGTTCAAGCAGTAGAGCACCTGTTTTGGAGGTGTAAAGCTCTGGGAGAGAGGTTACAAAAAAAAAGTAGGGGAAGGGAGGGGAGAAAAAAAAGGACAGACTCAGACTTTGGGACATAGTTCAAGTGATAGAGTATCTGCCTAGCAAGCGTAAGGCCCAGAGTTGAACCCCCAGTACTGTCACAAGAAAAAAGGAGAAAGAAAGGAGAAAAAAGAAAGGAGGATGACAAGGAGGAAGAAGAAAGTATTAGCAGTAACAGAAGACTTGATCTCTGAAAGCTGAAAATCGCCAAGTACCTGACAAGTATAATAATTTCTACAAACCCAAAATAAAATTAACACAGAACCTCAAAACCTAATACAAAGTCTAACAGTTTAGTCACAGAAATGAAAAACTAAGTACTCATTTAGGTCATGATGAAATAATTCAAACTTAGACCAAATTCACAGAAGAAAAATCCACATTTTGGTTTTCTCTGTTATAGAACAGAGTACAGGTATTCCACACCCAAATCTCTATAATCAGTTTAGGACTTGACTATGAAAAAAAAATGTATATATATATATACTATGAAATCTAGAAAACTGCATAGAATATTAAAAGTATTGAAAACATACAAATGTAATGTGTAACAGTTAGATATTTTATTCATCAAGAAATCATCCAGGTGCTGGTGGCTCACACCTTAATCCTAGCCACTTGGGAGGCTAAAATTGGGAGGATTACAGTTCAAGGAGAGCCTGGGCAAACAATTCAGGAGATGTCATCTCTAAAATGACCAGAGAAAAATGTACTGGAGGTGTGGTCAAGTGACACAGCACCTGCTTTGCAAGCACACAGCGCCTCCCCAGCCCCCCTGCACCAAATCCAGGTTAACAAGTCAAATAATAAACAATGTATCAGTAACCACCTGTAGTGAAATATCTGGGCAACAGTCCAACATTTTACCTCATCACAGCACACACATCTCCAGTCAAGTTCCTCCGACAAGCAGTACTGGTTAAATACTCTTGGGGGTTTAGACGGTATGTGTCAATCATAAAATTTCGATATGCCAAGTATCTAAAAAAGCAATAACAAAATTCGTAAGTTAAACATACATTCTTTCAGAAATAGAAACTCATAAAACCAAACTTCTTTGCATTCCTCACAACCATATAAAAATAAAATTAAACAGTGCAAAAGACACAGTGATACTGTTTGAGTATTCAAGTTAAAGTGAATTCAGAACCCCTAATAAGTGAAACAATTCTTTACAAATGTATAGTAACAAATAAAATAGAGTAACTTGGTACTTAATGTAGTCACAAAAATAAACTTGTTCATGGAGGAGAATGGATAAAACCTTGGTGGCTTACAGATCTGAAGCTAATATGTAGCTATCCCCTTCACTACTTTGTAGTTACTGTGTGCCAAACACTGCCAATGCAGTATCTCCATTAATGCTCAAAATTATAACATGGAGTCTGTTATCATTGATTTACATATGAGGAAACTGAAGCAGAATGGTTACCAAAATCACCAAGGGTTGATTAAGTGATAGAAACAGAATTCAGTACCTACAGTGTGTTGGCTATGGAATTCATGGTTTGAAGTTAACTTCTACTCAATCTAAATTCTACAGTTGTTTAGAATCACAATAGCACCTCTCATGCAGTTCTTTCAGGGAGACTTAGCTATGCAACAAGTAGAAACCATGATGCCAAATTCAGCAGTTAAGACAAAAACATACCAAAAATGAGAGAAAAAGAGAGACTGGGTACCATAGCAGGTTCCACAATGTACCCAAGCATGTCTACCACAAAACACAAGAGTGTTAAGGAGTTTGAAACATAGCAACTTTAGCAACTTTCTTGGCACAGAAGTAAAACAAAAGCCTGGCAAACCAGAGGGGAGCTACATTACAGTAGAAACACTACACTGCTCAAAAGGTTCCCGAATAAGAACAGGAGGATACACAAAAACTAAAAAGATGAGTTTACAAAGTGAAATAGGCTAACATGAAAAATCACGCTCTTATAGAGAAGACTACCAGAACCCTTAGAAATTCACAAATGCTGAGAATAGGCAATTAGCTGAAAGAATACTCTATGTCAGCATAAGTGGAAAAACTGTCAGAGCTTACACCAAATCTGTTATTCTGGATTCAGGTAACTCCTTACAGTACTGTTATGGGAAGACTAAAATTATCTCTGACTTTAAAAATTAAAATCTCGCTTGCAGGGCGTCGGTGATCACGCCTGTAATCTTAGCTGATCAGAAGCATAGAGGTTTAAATCCAGCTCAGGCAAATAGTTCACAAGACCCTATCTCAAAAAACCCATCACAAAAAGGGGCTGGTGGAGTGGCTCAAGGTGTAGGCCCTGAGTTCAAGCCCTGGTATAGCAAAAAAAAAAAAAAAAAATTAGAATCTCAAACTACCATGGACAAACTGCCAACAAAATACATTTATCATTAACTGCCTGTGCTAACCCATGAGTTTTATGTGAGTAGTATGAAAGTCAGTTCTTTGTTAACTGTTTTAAGAATTAGACATTTATTTCTGCAGTCATATGTATGTAACAGATGACAGATTAAAGACTATCGGGGGCAAGGGTTTCCAGAAGCATATGCTGACAGGTCACAAGGAAAAGACAAAAATACTTCCTGGTGAAACCTCTGCCTCCCCAGAAATTATTTCTACTTTGAACACAGAAGTACAATGCCTTATGCAATTAAGCTCAACTCACATGCAGCTGTATTCGACACATCTAACATGCTTCTAGTTAGTAAGCATTCTTCAGGGAGATAAAGTAAAGGATCCATATTCTCCTGAATTATTGTATATGAATATATACAATCCATAACACACATGCATATGTAAATTGAGAGCTATAGGAGAAACCTAAATTGAACACTTGTTACCAAACTCAAAACTTCAACTGTAAGAGCCAAAGTGTATACAGTTCAAGACTTAGGACCAAAGAAAAACAATATAATTTCATCTGATGTAAGGAATGTTTGAAAATGAGAGATGGACAATATTCTCAGTGGAAGGTAACTTCCAAATACCAGCAACAGCATACTGATAAATGTACTTTAAGAATCCCTACAATGTGGTGGGAATGTAAACTAGTACAACCACTCTGAAAAAAAATTTGGAGGCTTCTTAAAAAGTGAAACATTGATCGACCATTTGATCCAGCAATACCACTCTTGGGGATATACTAAAAAGACTGTGACACAGGTTTCTCCAGAGGCACCTGCACACCCATGTTTATTGCGGCACTATTCACAATAGCCAAGTTATGGAAACAGCCAAGATACCCCACCACTGAAGAATGGATTAAGAAAATGTGGTATCTAT